AGATACTACAATCATCTGTTCCATCATGATTTATGATTATTTAAAATGTTGCAATATTATTAATTAGCTTAACAATTATCTTTCTCCRATTCATGTGCCAGTCAGCACGTCGTTTTTGCATTGTCATTGTTTTTTCGTTGTTCTCTTACCACCAGGGCTTTGTGTGGGAGGAGGAGGAGATCCACCTGTTGGGGGAGGGATTGACGGGAGACTTCCATCAGGTCCGACTCCTATATCAAATATAAAGCAGTATATATCAATATAAATGTATTGGCGATGGTGACAATTGATGAGTCTTAACGTAAARYATCAATTGACCTGAYACTTGTTTGATCCAGTCGATGTAGCTGGCCACTCTTGCAAACACTGTGTAGTCCGTAGTCGGGCAGTTTTTGCGTCCAAAGCTCACAGCACCATGAAGATACCATCTTCCTCCTTCCTCGCACACCAACGGTCCACCACTATCACCATGACATCCACCAGAAGCACCAGCTCGACCYTCTCCAGCACAGAGATGAGCAAATGAATTGACACTGAAATACTTCTTCTTACAATTAGTATGGGACACGATAGGTAAAACGGCCTGCTGAAGGATGTCTGGAGAAGTGCCTGACCCAGTTATTGACCCCCAACCTACAAACAAGTAGATTTCTTTAATATCTACTATACACGTGTTTGGTCGCCTGCGCTGCAGGCGAATGATGATGATGATACACGTGTTAGCATATGATGTGTTACCTGTGATGTAGCATTTCTTGCCTGGTTGAGGTTTTATTTTAGTAAGACAAACAGCACCAACCTTGTCGCTCATTTGAACAGGAGACGCAAGTCGTAACAATGCGATGTCGTTATTGATGCGTCTGTCATCATAACTTGGATGTTTGATAAAGTGAGATACGCGAATAGTTTGTTGTACACTTGTGGTTCCTTTCCTTCGGTGTGCTCCTATAATATACAGTTATAATATGATGAGTAATGAGGAAATCACTAAAGCAACTCGTTTATCTCAAACCTGCTACAACAGTGTAGTCTTTAGGGCTTCTGTTGTGAATGCAGTGTGCAGCGGTCACAACCCATGTTGGGCTGATTAACGATCCTCCGCATGTATGATAGCCGTAACGTCGAAGTGAAATCTGCCATGGCCAGGAATGAGGAGATGCGTTCTGTCCATTAATGACACGAGTTCCCGCTGGTCGAGACCCACATTCTAAGCAAGGATAACATTTAAGTGTCTTTTATTTCGCTGATTGTACAGTAATGCACAAATGAAAACCCATCAAGGATGTATGGATCTTTTAGCCAATCTTTAATTCCTATAATATGAAGTTTCTACTCACTTGCATCGATGTAGCTTGCTGCTAGAACACAAAGTATCACGGCCGAGAGTAGCTTCATTGTTTCTTCTCTAAGTATTGAAATACTTCTAATCCTGCAACACTCGTAACGTACCATATAACAACAGTGCTGCAGCTGTACATATAGTATCATGTTTACCCAGCAGTAGTTGTACATCAAAAGTGTTGCCAAAGGAAAACAGACAACGTGGCTTCTTGCAGGTTTATTTACCTGTTTGTTGTCAAAGGCGAATTTAAGAAACGTACAAAGATTGTTTATTGAAATGAAGGATTAATAAKGCCAGGGAGGAAATACAAAAAAGAATGCAACAATGCAGTATGGTAACGTGTGGTATTGACTATTCTTAAAATTCCATTTCAGGCGGGAATAGCCTCGTTCCTGGGATAGAAAACATTGGGAAAACAATAATTTTACACATAAATTCGAGGCTAAGACTGGTTACAATGGGATTTTGAGAATAGTCAATAAAACAGGACAGGCAGAAAGCCGAAAGGAGGTTTTGTAATATATTGATATGATTGTGTAATGTAAATTGTACAATGCAATGTTGTAGGCATCTGCTCAAGTGATATATGACAGTATATATAGCTGAATGTACTCATTCAACAAAGGCAACAAAAGGCGTGAAGACTTCAAAGATATACTTTAAATTGTAAAAGTAACAATTCCCTTGTGCACTGCATTAAATGTTCTACATTTCATGATTTACGTCAGTACTTACTTTTCATAGAAGCAAATTACAGTATTTAAAGTTCACACTTGTTTTGTATTTAACACAGCAGATTCTAACATTATGTGTCTTGRATTTAATGTAGCATAGGAATAAATATAAATGAACACAAAAGCCATATGTATATAAACTAAAATTTGTATCATTTACATGCTTATTCGTCATATAATCATTCATTTATAGTATCGATTAATTTCCAGTATGATAGATGCTTTCGACCTGTCAAGAAACATGCATGCATTATTTCCTCTCACTCTTGCTTTTTAATGTTTTTGAAAGAATGACTTACATTTCTTGCACGTCCTATGGCACCATTTGTATGCAAAATCAGAAGATAATCTACAGTACCGTAACAACTGAASACAGTTGGAAGCCTTGTCTTTGCAGTCTTAAAGTAAAACACTAGAAATTAGGTAAGATGTATTGTACCTATTCAACTTTGTGCAGTTTATCGCAATATTGAATTTTAAGTAGAGAGGAGAACCAAAGAAGGTACTGCTGAGGGGAAAAGTATGATTCTATTACTACATTTTGTTTGTATTTGAGCAACTGGCAATGTTTATCGCATTTTTTACTATAAGTACATAACCAATACCTGGGGTAGGAGGCGGTAGTGATGGCACATCTGTTGGAGGAGGTGGTGGAAGAGGAGGTAGTGGTGGTCCATCTGTAGGTGGAGGTGGTGGAAGAGGCGGAACTGGTGGTCCATCTGTAGGTGGAGGTGGTGGAAGAGGCGGATGTGGTGGTCCATCTGTAGGTGGAGGCGGTGGAAGAGGCGGAA